CATGACCTACTGTTCTAGTGGCTTCTTGTTAAGCTCCTTGGCACTGAGCAAAGGCCTTGCGTATAGGTAGGTGTCCAGCAATATTTGCTGAAATGAACAGAAAAAAATCCAGACAGGAACAGATGGAGGCTTTGGGGTATCCCTGTACTCACCCCATTTTGGAAGTCACAGAGCAGTAGGTTGGAGAGTCCAGAATGGAGACTAGTGAACACATTCTGAATACTTAGCTCCCCCTCCTAGATCCCCCACACCAGATCCTCCCCCTTAGAGTCCTACTCTCACTTGGTTGTTACCAGGCTTGAAAACAACCTGGGTATCATCTTTTAGGAACCATCCTATTAATAATCCCAGGCACTGCTGAACAAAAAACAGGAAATCTCAAGGCTCAGGGGACTTGGATTACAACAATAATAACACATACACATTTTTCTTCAGAATTTACAAAACAGGTTCTCATTCACTTCCTCCCGACGGCCTTTCAAGTAGTATCCAGCCCCGTTTTGTAGATGAGGAAACAAAGGGGCAGAGGAAATGAAATGTCTTTTCCTAGGACATCTGACACAGTCAGGGTTTGAGCTGGATCTTTTGTCTCCACTCCCTGTTTGTCTACTAGGTCCTGTGATCTCTGGTTCTAGCTCTGCCCTGGGCAACTTTTTCTGGGCCTTGGTTTTTCCAGCTGTGGAACAGAAGTTACCTATTCTGTGCCTTCGGTTATCAGTTTCAGCACACAAGACAATGGAGTGGCATATGGAAAATGCCTGGGGTGGGAGAGTCGTCTGGGCCCTTTGCTCATTCAGCCCCTAGCTGCTATTTCTCAGTGACCCTTCCAGTCCCTTCCTGTTCCAAACACCTACAGACCTTTCAGTTCCACTTTATTATCACCTCATTTGTAGAATTTTAAGGTTCGCTACCTGGGAGCTAGGAACTCACACCTCCAATTCTGTTTTTCATATATTCCTTCATCACATGTGAAGAAGTCTTATTAACAGCATCTAACCTGTCACAGCTTCATCTGGGGGGCATCTAGATCCAGAAATGCATAGGGCACCAGGGCAGGGGAAACAGCATGGCTGCAATGGGGAGGCCTCTGGACTCCTGGGATTTGCTCTTGGCCTTTGAGGACCCTGGGGCTGTTTTCATGGTCAGGAGACCTCCAGCCAGGGTCAGAGTTGCCTTGAGCACTTGGCCACCTTCTCTGGGTCTATAGCTCCTGCCTCTTCCCCTGGGCCCCCAAACTCCTGCCTGAACAGCTCCTGTGCCTGCCCAGCTCCCCTACCTCCTGGACACTTGTCCAGGATTGATTGTCTGGGCAGCTCCCCCTCCGAGCAGTAAATGAGATATTGGTTACCGGGAGTGAGGCAGGAGCCAATTAACCCCTAGACCTCGACATGGCAGATGTGTTTGTAGGAAGCTGAAGCAGAGAGCTGAGTGCACCTGCCTGGCCTTCCTGCAAAGTCATCCAATTAGGGCAGCCCCCAGCAGTGGGCCCTACTGCCCCCTCTGGACCCAATAACCTCAGAAACCAGGGTGACACCAGCACCTACGGCTGTCAGCTGCCTAGCTACAGAATGGCCTGCCATCCCTGTGTGAGTGAACTCTGGGGTTACCTCCATCCACACTCCCCTCCTGACAGGGACATTCTTCCTTAATTAGTCACACATCTTTCTAAAGGGGTGAGGGTAACCTGGGGACACTTCTTGCTTCCATTCTCTAGCTAGCGTGGACTCACATTCTGTCTGTCCAGCCTCCTTCCACCTACCACCCAGGCCACCGCCCCCCCCCCAATATCCCTGTACCTAAAAAGCCCCTGACTGAAGGAGGCCGAGAGGGAGATACACCATCTGCTCTCAGAGAACTCTGAACTACAAAGGAGACAATCTTGTCATCAAGGATACCCAGTTTACAGGTAGAAACTGTCCCCTCATCTCAGAAAGGCCTAGATGAGCAGAAAAGTAAACTTGTGCCTACCCACAGAACTGCAAGCGGGAACCATCACCAGTACATTGAGGGATCAATTACTGTTGAAGCAGATATACAGCTCTCTGTCAAGGAACTAGATGACAGTATGGAGAGAAAATACAGACTTTGAGGTCCCACTAGTCTGATGCAGGAGATACAAGCCTTGCCTTCAGAAAACTTCCCAGTCTGAGTGGTGGAGACATAGCTCTTGCCCTCCCTCATCAGCTGTCTCTCATCTGAAGGAGAAAACAGATTTTTGTCCTTAGGGAGCCACTGTGTGATGGGGAAGAGACCTTCCAGTAGAGTCCCTTGTAGCTGGGATGTTGCCTAAGTGTACTCAGCTGGCATTGCAGGACACTCCTGGAGCCTTGCAGAGGTAGAGAAACTCCTTGGCTTTGGTCCAGTCCTAGGTGTGCCACAAACATCCCACCTGGCCATGGCAAGTGATAAGTCTGTGAGTCCTCATCTGCAAGAATGGGGATTTCAGTCCCATCTCTCAAAATGGCATGAGGATTATCAAGTCACCAGAAAGAAATGCAAAGCAGCCAGCTAGCCAAGCACTCACTGTAGACAGAATTAACACGTACTTGGTTGTTATCCCAGGTTGTACCTGGGATAGTCCTTATGGCCTCTAGGGTAGGGCGGAACCCCCTCCATCCCAAGTATGGCCACTAGGTAATTCTGAGTCGGTGTGGCTATTAGAGAGCCAGAGGCAGCTGTGGGCATCACTAGGGGACAGGAGGAGTGCCTTCTAATCTAATCACACTTCCCATGGAGACTCTAGTTCCATCTAGAGCTGCCAGGGGTTTTATTGGGTTTGTGGGGACCTGCAGATTTCAATCTCCAGATCTCACAGGGAGGGCACAAGCATTAAACTAATTTTATTAAATGGCCACAGCTGGCAGCGGGGGGAAATAGGGGAGAGAAGGGAAGATAAAGAAAGCCATTCAAATCTGCCAGCCATGACAAGGGTCCATACATGGGGCCTGGCCAGGAGGGTGGCTGCCCCTCCTTCCTGCCTCTCCAGCTGAGCCAGACTGGCGAGCCAGATGGGACCTTTCCTCAGTGTAGAGCCTTGGCATTCTCCTAAGCCCCAGCCCATGGCTGCGGCCCATGGCAGATGCTTATTAATGCATCAGGCCTCTGTAGGGCTGGGGTAGGAGGAGAAGGATGGGATGGGGCTATCCCAACTCAGCTCTACTTTGAATATGCCAGTTCCTTGTAAATATAGAGCACTGGGGAAGGGCACTGTCCTTGGCTCAAATATTGGCATTTGCCTGTTTGTAGCCCTGTGGTTTGGCAATCTGCACAACCTTGCTGAGCTTCAGTTTCTTTATCTAAAAATCGATAAAGTAGCCAGGTGTCATCCCACTGAGAGGCTGACACTAGAGGAACACTTGAGCTCAGGAGTGATGACCAATCCAGGCAAAATGATGAGTGAAACTCCATCTCCAAATAAATATACCAGTAAAATGCACAAAATTGGCTGGGCAGTGGTGGCGCACACCTCTAATCCCAGTACTTCAGAGGCAGGGGCAAGTGGATCTCTGAGAGTTCAAGGCCAGCCTGGTCTACAGAGTGAGTTCCAGGACAGCCAGGGATACAGTGAAACCCTGTCTCAAAAACCAAATATGGACATGGGAGGGCTTTCTGTGAACCCATTTTGCACGTCATACCTATCTGTGAGGAAATATTTATAAAGTGCCTACACAGTGTCTGACACACAGTGGGTCACGTGTTACATGTTGCCAGTTACAAGAAGGTGAAAGAGGCAGTGGCAGGCCAGAGAGTCAGTGTGACTTGGATTCAGGTACAACCACAGAACTTAACAACCCTGCCACTTTAACCTCCGTGGAAGAAAGCTTACCCATTCACCTAACTCCAACTTGGGTGAGAGAGTACCTGAAAACATCCTGCAAACTTTTAAATGATACATAAACAAGAAGAGCTATGTGCTTTGAGTGTGTACATTACACCTCTTTAACCGCCAGTTGAGGGAAGTGGGTTTCCTTTCCCACATTTTACTGATGAAAAAAACAGGAGCTCAAAAGTAGTGATTCGAACAAGGTCAACCAGCTTTTAGTGCAAAGCTCGATCCTTTTTGTGGCTTTCACCAGTCAGAGAGGGGCTTGGATCACACGAGGTATCATAGGAACCTAGGCTCTCCGCTTAAAAATTTGCCTGTACCTTGCTCCCAATGCAAAGATGGCGCTTTACCACCACATAGCATGTGACTAGATTGCTGCCCACTCGGGCTGTGGTGAGTGAGCATCAGACGTCTTTGTTGTTTTTTCAAGACCGGGTTTCTCTATGTAGCTTTGGGTGGCCTGGAACTCGCTTGTAGACCAGGATGGCCTCGAACTCACAGAGATCTGCCTGCCTCTGCCTCCCGAGTGCTGCGATTAAAGGCGTGCGCCCCCACCGCCCAGCCTGCATCGGACTTTTGGTCCTTCCTCTGGAGCAGCTATGGGGCCAGCATCTGGTTGTCCCCAAATCTTTTACCATACTCCTTCCCAGTCTAGAGGACGGGGTCCAGGGCACCTCCTACACACTTCCCCAGGGCACAGACTGAAATCCCCACGGGGTGGAAATGTTTTTATTATAGCTTTGGTCAGACCAGTTGCAGCTGTTCCAGGGTTTTGAGGGTGCTGGGAAGTTATCCAGCCCCTAACCCGCTCCTCCCCCAGGCGGGGTCACCCCGCAGGAAGCAACCGCGCCAACTTCCTGCCCCCCAGACTGGGCCTGGCTGGCAGGAGGGGTGGGCAGTAAACAGTCCTATTGTACACATATACAGTGCAGGCTGGGGCCAGAAAGGCAACCTGCCACCCGGGCCGGAACTGCGTGCGGGGGTGTGGGGTGGGGGTGGGGTTGCGCTCCATGGAATAAAGGCCTGGACTAGGTGGTGGAGGCAAGAGGCGATTCAGCCTGGGAGGGTCGGCGGCCCGGGCCAAGCAATTTGAAAATGAGTAGGGAATGGGTTCTTGTTTGCCTCTCTTGAGAGGGGAGCCCCAGGGATGAAGAGCCACGGATGGAAAGGGGTACAGGGGCTCAATCTGAATAGATGATGAAGCCAGAGAAAGTGCTGTATTTGTTGCTGTTGCCACCATGCGCTTTGCCTCCATCCAGCTTGATGAAGACCTCATCGCCTGCGTCCAGGTGCAGGATCACGCTGTTGCTGGCATAGTCGTAGTTCTGGTCTGCATCCTGGGCAATGGCGCTGGCCCGCACCTATGGGGGTGGGGATGGGGGGTGGGGCAGTATGAGAGGGGAAGGAGGTGAGGCAGCCATATGGTGAGGAGTTGGAGGTCCTAAAGCCCAGCTTTCTGGCCATTCAGGACCTTGGCCTGCTTTTCCGTCATCCCACCCTGCCCGCCGCTTAATCATGCATAACATTTTGGGAGCAGACATCAAGAAGCCCTGGATTCTAGGGCAGGACATATCTGGGTTCGAATCTGAAGTCCAGATGGAATCTTCATCTGTCACTCCTGCAGGTCTCACCATCTGCCTGCTGCCCACCTCAGCGCCTTCCAGGGTGGCCCCACTTGGAAGTCCTTCCTTGCATAGAGGGCTGCCTTGTACTTCCTGAGATGGAAGATCTTCCCTCTGTCGTTGGCATTCTTTCCTACCTCTCTGCTGCCATTTCTCTCACACCCACCTGCTCTTATGTCAATGGATGGACAAAGGACACAGCTTGGCCACGGAGGTGAGGCAGCTGGGGCAATACCAGACTGCTAGTAACTAAGAAGCAGGGCTGGGCCTTTGGGTCTATCCAAAGCTCATTCCAGAGTCTCTCTCACCTTGGCACTGAGACTCAAGGCCTGGTAATTGTTTCCCCTCCTGGCCTTTGATTGAACCCACTGCCCAAGGCCTCTGGGAGTTATAGCAATATCGCTGTGACTATTACCCTGGTCAAAGGACTCCCAACTCTTCTGCTACCCATCCTAGGGCAACAGAAAAAAAACAGGACGGGAGGGAAGGAATTGGGGGCTTACATCCTCTGTGGTCCTGGTCTTGAGGGAGATGAGGACAGGAAAGGACAGCTCAAGAGAAGCACTAGCACTGCAGTGTGACTTCTGAGGGCTCTGACTAGTTTAAGACATTGGGGGAGGGTGTTGGTGTTTGAGTTATCTGTGGACATTTCTGAGGCAACAAGAGAACTAAGCTTTTGAATTCAGGGTCTCCCTAAAATAGAGGGTAAGGAACAGAAGAGGGACTGGAGGGTTAGCTCAGTGGATTAAGACCACTGGCTATTCTTCCAGGGGACGTCAGGTTCGATTCCTAGCACCTTATACGACAGCTCACAACTGTCTGTAACTCCAGCTCCAGGGGATCCTATGCTCTTTTCTGGCCCCTAAAGGCTCCAGGCAAACATGTGATACACAACATGCAGGCAAAACACCCATACACATAAAGTAGATTTTAAAAACTAAAAAGAGAGCTGGGGCTGGAGAGATGGCTCGGGGGTTAAGAGCACTGGCTGCTCTTGCAGAGGACTCCAGTTTAATTTCCAGCACTCACATGACGGCTCACAAAACCATCTGTAATTCCAGTGCCTGGGGCTTCGATACCCTCTTCTGGAAGGCACACATGTGGTATGCGATCAAAAACCCATACACATGAGTTAAAATCAACATTTAAAAAATTAAAGGGGGGGGGAGAGAAGCCTTCCCCTTAGTTGTAGCTTGCAGTGGGGAAGGCGACATTGAACAGGGTTCTGAGGCAGGCTTTTCCACAGTTCCTCTCTAGCCCTCTCCTCTGATGGCAGCTCCTGCAGCCACCTAACCCAAGACTACTGTCTAGGCTGAAGCCAAATCACAGTTGGCAGTGGGGGGGATGGGGGAGTTAAGGGAAGCATAACTGTGGGTCATCCTTGCTAAAACAGCCGACTCAGCAGCAATGCTACAACCAAGAGGGCCCAACACATTTGCATGCACCTCTCCCCGAATTCAATGTCCTTCCAGCCCCTTATCTCTCCTTAACCTCTTCCCCAGCCTGGGTTGGAACCATGTGGATTACAACTGGGGAAACATCTCCTCTAAAAAGTGGGAGAAGGGGCTGGTAAGGTATCTCAGCAGGTAAAGGTGCCAAACCTGATGACCTGAGTTCAGTCCCCAGGAACCCACATGGTAGGACAGAACTGACTCCTGCAAGTTGTCCTCTCTGACCTCCACAACAAATGTTGTGTCCCCACATGCAATAAAATTTTAAAGGTGGGCCCGGCAGTAGTGGCGCATGCCTTTCATCCCAGCACTGGGGGGGGGGGGGGTAGAAGCAGGCAGATTTCTGTGAGTTCAAGGCCATCCTGGTCTACACAGTGAGTTCCAGGCCAGCCAGGGATACACAGAGAAACCCTGTCTCAAAAAAAAAAAGTGGGAGGAAATAAGAGAGAGACTCTGTTTATTCAAGGCCTCAGTTTCTATGTCTAGAAAATTGGATAAGAAGTCCCTATCTCACTACTGCCACCTTTACAAAAGCCTTTAGATGGTAAAGCAAAAAAATTAAGTCTTGATAGGGTTTTAAACTAGCAGAGAAGAGCTGAAAGCAAGCAGCCAACTTCTGTATTGTTCCCTGGGCCCTAATCCTGGTAGTATTTATTATTACATGTGCACTTCATTATCTTTGGTAATAAATTACTACTAATAACAATTATTTTTATTACCCAGATTAATTTAGCCTTAACTCATTAAAACAGTGTGCTCTTTAATAGCCAAATCCATTAGAACACAGTCATCCGTCAACAGGAATCTCCTGGTGATGTGACAGGCATCAGAACTGTTCTGCTTATGTTTATTATTTATTCATCACCATGATTGTTGCTGTAATTATCCTAATTATCCATGGAAGCAGCAAGAATTTATGCCCTTCCATCCTTAGACAGTGGGAGATCCTGAAATGGAGCCCAGGGGGTCCCAGTTCTCTACTCAAGACTGGAAGCCGTTGAGGCATCAAGCTCCTCTTGGGAACCCTAGGAAAGATGGGGAATTGAGGTTGCCATGGAAGCCAGAGAGCAGCCTGTTCCTTGTCAGGAGGGGCCACCAAGAGGGGAAACTGAGGCAGTGGTTTGACCAGGGTAACCCAGTTCCTAGACTATAGTCAGGGAAAGGGCTATTTCCCCAGTCCACACCCGGGGCTTGGATAGGTAGGTGTGGCTCCCAGAAGTTGCCAGCCTGGTTCATAGAGGACTGTCGGCACATAGATTTACCAGGTCCATTCTGTGTGAGTCTGTGCTGCTTATGGTACCAGAAGTTAGAGAGGACAGCTGGGTCTCTTTCCACCCGCTAGATGTGAGGCTAATTCCCCAGGAGGTTTTTTTTAATGGCACAGTAGCTATGTTTATCAATTTTGTGTTCACCCTGACCTGTCTGAACCACAGATATGGAGGTGGTTGTGGTCAGGCTTCCCTCAGACTTCTCATTCTAAGTACTTGTATCGGGTGCCATCAGACTCGGGAGACTGACGCAAGGCTAACCCTATGGAGAGAGGGCAGTGGGCCTTAGACATGGATCCTTAGGCACTAGGCATGCTGATGGAAAAACCCCTTTCTCTATTCTTCTTAACCAGGGACGGACTGGAAACCTCTTTGCAAGCAGGAAACTTTGCATGCAATGCCCGCCCACAGTGGCCTCTCCACCTGAAGACATGGTAAGCAAAAGTGCCTTTCCTCTATTTCCAACCATTGGGCAGCCCTGTCACCGTTTCCTCTGCTTACTTAAATGTCTCACCTACCCGAGGAGCCTTCCTCTACACATGACCCTTTCCTCCCCCGTTAGTGGTGTCTCCTAACCTGGCGAACCTGGATTCAACATCCTTTTCTTCCTGCCAAGTGGTTCTGAGCTAGGGTAGGGCCGACCCACTTAGTCACTCTCTCAGACAACACATCTGGAGACAGGAGTTGCCAGATGCATTCCCAGCCCACCTTTAATACAGTGCCTACTGAGTGTGTTACTGTATGGCCACTACTACTGCCCCCGCTACAGAAGCCAGAGAGCCCTAGAGGGCAAATGGGCTAAACCCTTGGTTCCAAACAAGCCTCAAGTCTTGTTTCCCGTAGGGGGTCACAACAAATACGTGGAATGGTTGCTGAGATTCAGTGAGCCTCTTGGACAATCTGGAAGAAGTCACAAAAGGGTATTGGGAGGAGGCCACAGACTCCATTACTGTTCTTAATCTTTTTTTTTTTTGTTTGTTTGGGGGGGGACGTCTTTGAGTAACTGTTAATGTGATGAGTCTTTGAAACCCTAAAATAGCCTCAGTGAACCTCTGGAAGCCTGTGGTCCTTCACCTTGTGAACTCTTCTTCGGGCTGTGCTAACGCCCAGGCTCTGAGGGAGGGGAAAGAGGTTTGGGGAATGGTTTCAATTCCAAGAGACTAAGGCAAGTGGCCCCACTATATCACACACTATATGAGGAGACGCCTCAGGCCCTATTGCTGGGACCCTGCTGGGACCCCCTGTCTAAGGGTCTAAGGGCCTAGTAACCACTCTTCAATCCCAGCAAGCCCGGTGTCCTAAACCTCGGCTTTGGGCCAGCTCAAACTTTCTTTGAGGAAGGAATGGCATCAATGAAGGTGACATTGCTGCATGCCTTATTGGTGATTAATAAGGGGACTTGTGGGGCTGTCTGCAGAATGAGCCTTTGCTGGATTCTGGAGCCTTCCCATTTGGTCAGGAACCAAGGACAAAGAGGAGAGACAGCAGAAGCCCGATAGACACAAAAGGGAGAGAGACCCAGCAATAGAGAAGGGGGGAGGTTGGACCCAGAGAAGAGAGACAGAGATGAATGGCGGATTCCGGTAAGAAATGGTCAAAAGACAGAAAAAGAGGCAGAAACCATAGAGGGAGTGGGGGAAGCAGGCAGAAAAAAAGAAGAGAGGACAGTCTTCCATACCGATAGGCTTTCTGCCCACTCTCCTATCCCCAAACTTTGCAGATCCCAAAGAAGGGTAGTGCTGCAGTGGGAGGGGTTCCGAGAAGATCTGGAGTCTCAATCACAGAGGATTGATTCCTTCTCACTTCCATAGCCTACCTCAATTCTGACCCTGGCCTCTGAGAAGAGAAGGTTCAGCTTGATCACGCCCCCGGGATGGGGGCTCATGAAACCCAGAGGTGAGAGCGCTGGTAACTGGGAACCCAGGGTGGGTGTTTCCAAGGGAAACACTGTGCGCCCGCTGTCCCTGTCTCAGACACAAGCACTCCAGGGGACGGAGAGGGCTCTTCCAGCTCTCTATCTGCTAGGATAGTGGAGGAGTTGGACCTGGAGATCTTAAGGAGGCGAGTTTCTCTCACTCTGCCCCGCCTCTGGAGGAAACTTTTCCCCGGAGGCGCTGGATAGCTCTGATACTCCGAGAAAAGGTTGAGCATTCCAGGGGGTTTGCAAAGACCAGCTCGATGGTTCCTTCTCTAGAGCCAGGGACGTACTGCAGCTAAGGCTATTGGGCGCTGGACTCCCTCTACCTTTATGCCCAAAACATCTCCTGCAGCCCTCCTCCTCTTGCGCGCACAGCCACTCGGTTTAGCGCCCTCAGGCATGGAGACTGCTTCTCCTTATCCGTGCCCAAGAGCACATACTTGCTGTTCCCTTAAAGCCAGCCGGCGTCAGCTTGAATCTTAGCTCTCAAGTGAATCAGCCTGAATCAGCCTCCCAAGGGCCAAACCCCTAAGGACCAGTCCGCGCGCCCTAGAGCCCTATGATCTGACTAGTTGGATTTAGCTTTACGCATTTCCCACTCCGCGGGTGCCCTGTAGCATTTGCCTTAGAGCTCGAGCTCAAGGGCTGAAGAGTCAGGGGTGCCCGCTAATTGCGACCATTCTTCTCCTGATCGTTAAGGGGGCCGCTTTAGGGTCACCACCTACGCCTGCCTGGTGTGCCTGTCGACTCTGATCCAATACGCATTCTCCTGGGGCTCCCTGGGTGCCCTGCCCCCAGGTCAGCCCCATGCCCCCTCATGGCCCACCTGGCCGTTCTTGCAGAGGTCCGCCCACATACTGGTGCCGTCGCCGCCGCGCATAAGGACGTGGTAGGTGAAAAAGTAGGTGCCAGGAATGTTGCATGTAAACTTGCCGCTGGCCGCATCGTAGTTGTTGCCTAGGTTGGTGACCACGTCGTCAAACTTGAGCACCTCGTAACCCTCATGAGGGTTCTTGAGGCCGGCGTAGAAGGCCACGCGTGGCACCGTGGTATAGGTGGCCGTGCTGATGGCGCCGCTGCCTCCTGAACCCGGCAGGCCAGGAGGGCCGGGCTTGCCTGGCTCACCCTTCTCCCCGGGCGGTCCCACAGGACCCGGAGGACCCCGGTCCCCTGGAGGCCCGGGGGGACCCGGCTTGCCAGTGCGGCCCGGCTTCCCCTGGGGGCCCTGCACCAGCGTGGAGG